ATTATGTGTCTATTTACTTGTGACCACTCAGTGTACATATATATTCCAAAATCATTCTACAGAAAACCACAAATGAAAAATATAACTGCTTTAATAATTATTATGGAGGGTTATTTCTTTATTTTTATGATAGATTAATTCACGGTTACATGTAATATGTAGTACTGGTTACTTGCAATATCACTGGATTAATATACAACAATGTTTATAGATTTTCTACATAATATATATATTTTTATGAAGTCTATAAAGTGATAATACCATTCTTATTATTTTTAGAAACAATACTGTATGCAACATATAGGTACTGTCAGTTAGAGACATTACAAGCGGAGGGGAGAACAAAAACTACCAATCAAGAAAGTATATAAAAATAGTTTGTACCACACTGATACAAGAAGTTATCTTTACTGATTTATATATATATATGTGATGAAGATATGCTTGTTTCTTAGCCAGTGTTACAACAAACTATCACTGTCTTTCATAGTTTCAAATTAGATGAACCATACTATTTACATAGATGCAAACCACATTTAATAATCAAGAACTACAGAATAATGAGTGCAGACAAAAATTATGTGTTCAACATTTAGTTTTTTTTAACATCATGTTGATGCCATGTGAATCTATTCTTTTTGGAGGCCATTTTTTTTACTTACATTATTTTTATCTAACTTGTCAAAGGAAACCTATCCATATGAACTAATTTATGACATTTTTTTACAGTTAACCATCATCCTCATAGATAAATTGAATGAAAAAAAACAATTTCACAAATAGCTAATAATTGAAAATCTGATTTCTCTTTTCTGTAGAAATGACACTTTTAAATTTATAAATCATTATATATATATATATAAATAAAATCAATGTTTGTTCTTTCTTCTTTTAATACACAATTTTTTAAAAACTACTGATTGCACATTACTCAATGGTTTATAAATACAACCTAATTTCTTATAAACCACATTATAACATATACAATACAACTACCTCCAAAACGTTTCACAACTTTTGGTAATTATAGTATTTTAAATGCTACAACAAAAATAAAATGATTCATACCTTCCAAATTCCTCCACATTCCACAATTGCTAAATGAATATAATGACTCATAACCATAGTCACAAGCCCATCAAATGGAGTGTGCTGAAGAGCAGAAGTTAATATCACTGTTTTGCTTTCCATAAACACAAATAACTCCTTACTGTCTTCTTTAATTCAATCCATCAAAAGTAATATGTTATAATTGCTCATATGTGTTAATTTCTATTATATTCAATTTCAGAGTCAAACATACTTGATCCACAAATTAATCAATTGCAATTAAAGAAAACATTAAATGTGGGATGAATTATATAACGAAAAAAACCAAAAAAACATGAGACAAAAGCACTAATTAATGTCTTTCCAAATTAATCATTGAAAATGGTTGAGCTGAAAAATCTGTCTTTAAAGACAAGAGTGACTGGCCATTTATGTAACTTAAACTTTCAACTGCATCAGATAAAAATATGTTAATTTTTGCCAAAGTAATTTTAATTCAAAATTCACCTAGAACAAAAATGCATGTTTTACAGTTAATGATTGCAGAGTAAAGCAAAACACTGTATCTTTACACATCTAACATTTTATTTCAGTAACAAGCAAATGTATTTTAGACACACACACACAATTTTGAGGTTTTAAATGACTAAAACATTGCTTGGTTCTAACGTTCATTAACATTATGGAGAATGTAGAGGAGTTAACATTGGATTCAGAAAACATATAAAATTCTGATTATATTGTAACATGGTCCATTTTTTGGTACTTACATCTGCACTGAACCCGAGCCTTCCATTATTAAAGAAGATGTTTGTGACAGACTTGTCAGCCCAACGGTTGAAGCAATTGCCAGTTAAACTTTCCAGTAATGCCTTATGAAAATAAACTTATATATATTTCTTCATATATATATACATGTAAATGCACAATAAACAATGTTCTTCTTAGACAAAAAACTATAATACAAGCGCCAATTTTTGTACACAACTACAGTGTATTTTTCGTTTACTAGGATGTTGTATGATATGGCTAGATAATGTAAGTGTTTTTTGGATGTGGTATTTTCCTTTATGTATAACTAAATACCTAGAGCTAAACTATCTAATAAATGAAACCATAGATGATAAAACTGGAAAATCCAAAAAATAAAACTACTACAGGAGGGAAAAGGTCAATGCCCTTCAGCAAAAAATTAAAATTCTTTTTTAAGCCAGATGCAATGCACAACTGCATAAACTCGCATGCACACCATAGCCTTTATATACACACACATTAACTATATGATTTGTACAGAATGTGTGGTAAAATATCTCGGGATTACAACATGCTACAAACCTACTGAAACATTCTATGGTCAGAAAGAAACGTTCAGACAAAAGTGAGACGGCTTGTAGCTGGACCACTTGCATGTGCAATAACTAATGGTCTTCTCTACAGTGCTTGATAAAATTATTATAAAACATTTAAGGAAGAGTTAATTAAATAAAATTTCCACATGCCTATTAAAGTTATCTAACTCCAACTAAGAAGTATAAATGGAGACTGACTACCACTTAAGATATTAAAGAAATCTCAATAAACCTTATTAAAGTTGTATTCAGAATGAGATTATAAATTATAAACACACAATGGGAATCACTTCACATGTGAGAGGGGAAGAAAAGGAAAATACAATACCAAAAATTAACAATGATCCTAAAGCTAGTTCCTGGTTGTACATGCATACTACATAATATTTTCTAAATACATACAAGGGAAGATGATTTTTATAGTAGTTCTATCTGGTGAACAAGATATACTTATTTTTCTTGAGATATAAATGTTTTTTTATTGTTTGGTTAAAAGTATTACATATTAAATCAGTAAATGATGTTAACAAGCAACAGTTAAAAAGAATGTTAACAGGCAATAGTTAAATAGAGTATTCAACTTACAAAATGAAAGAAAAAGACAAAAAACTAAATATGGAATATCAAAAAAAACCTCTAAAACCTATTATCTTAGAAAAATAATCTAGTCTTAACTTAGGTTTTGAAGGTTAGCAATAGTGCTCAATATTTGACTATGAACACTCTAAGCTCATGTAAAAGTTTAGATTTTGTTCTTATGTATTGAAAGTGACACTTGTTCAGCTCACATACTATTTACAGTCAACTATAACGTACATGAAACTTAACACAAAAACTGGTACTGCATGAAACATGTAGAACTAACAGATATACGGATTAATAATGGTTGGAGACAGCTTGAATGGGTAATGAAGAAAAACTTTAATCTAAGTTTAACATAACAGCAAATGTACAAATGGAATTAATATATACACACAGATGACGAGGAACCCACGTTGAGATTAATAATGGTTGGAGACAACTTGAATGGGTAATGAAGAAAAACTTTAATAAAAGTTTAACATAACAGCAAATGTTTTTCTTCATTACCCATTCAAGCTGTCTCCAACCATTATTAGTCTCAAAGTGGGTTCCTCGTCATTGAAGATATATGGATTATTACATTTTCCTCATGTAAAAGTAGTGAAAGAAATTTCAGTTTACATATTATTTCAGCTTTAATATATTGAGAAAGGTGATGGGGGGTAATATTTGTTTTACTTTAGGTAGAAAAACTGGTTAATAATGGATACTACCTTGTAAAGAGGAACTGAACAGAATCATTAATTAAGTCAAAAAATGAAATACAATGACATAATATATATATCAACCTTTTGTATATAAATATGCACTCACACATACATACATACATACACTTGTGGATGAACAATACCTCAGTTTCTGTTTGTGGTTCATTTTCATCTATTACAAGCACTGAAATAGCATCTTCAATCTCTTGAAGATACAGTTCATTGTCAGGATGGATGTTTATTAACCACTGTCGATTCTGAAAAAATAAATTTAGTTTTTATAAGTAACAGTATACAAAGTATTTATACATATGTATATGCTAAAATGTTGCTATATATTTAAAGGATGTATATGATTTCTGTTATTTTGAAAGTTTTCAAAGCAAGTCAAAGCAACATAACAATTCAACATATTAAATTAAATGGTCCAAGAACCAGCATCACCTGTTTCTTTAATCTACCAAACTTGTTCAAAGATTGACCTGATAATTCAGAAAATGTAATTTTCATGACAGGAAAATGATAATGAAAATACTTTAAAGAAACATTTTTGTCATAACTATATAAATTGATACCAGAAATATGTTAAAATAATCAAGAGAACAATATAATCAACAATAATATACTTCATATGGTCAACTGCTAATGAGGTGAAATGCATTTGTTTGTTTGGTGTTAAGCACAAAGCTACACAATAGGCTATCTATCCTTTGGTCGCTAAAAGTATCAAAAATCAATTTTTTCATTTCATAAGCCAGATAAGATGCAACCATTTGTCGAGGTATTTGTATTATAATTACATTAAGTGATCTCTTGGCAAAGGTGATTGAGGGGTAAAAATAAAAATATATGTGTGAGGGTATAAAAAAAAGATAACTAAAATTACCTTGCAAATCAAAATTATATAACATTTAAGCTCATAAACACAAAGTTTTTGCAGACTACAAATCCTATTAGGTATTGAAACATATTAGTTGGTGGAGAACAAGATATTTTCTTACGAATTCATAAACAAGAATATTTCCATAGATTTTCTGTGTAAATCTGAACATAATGTCACTTACTTATAATTCTTTTTGACCCAAAACAGTTCCCATTTTGCATCCAATTTCTTAATAATTAACTCTCTCAACATGGGTTCGGTTGATTTGACTGACCACGTGACCTCTTTGTACTCGTTTAAAGTCTTTATAGACCAAAGAGATTTTTATGTTAAGATTAAAAATACTTTTCTTCATCTCAAAAATATCAAATTTCCTTTGTGTAATCTCTAAAAACCTCCTAAATACATTTCATACATTTGTTTTCAGTAAAACTTTATATTTTATCTGTTATTTTCCCTACTCTATCTCTATACAGGGTTGATCAATTTCACTGACCACTGTAACCACCACGAAAAACAAAAATTGAAATAAATATAAATTACCCTTTTTTCTTTCTAGAATGACTTCAAATTGTAACATGAAGCTACATTTGTTTATCCTAAGTAGCTTTAAGTTCATAACAGTATACATCTATTTATAATTAAATTTAATTGTTTTATTGCCTTTTGAACCATGACTAACTACTATCTGTGCCATTATAAGTTGGAAATCACTCGAGGAATGTACAGCTCACTTTACGCTATTGATTTACATTACCCACAAGCTACTCCACGCTGCTCACATGCTTGCCTCATGAAACATTTTCATTTTATTATTATTATTAGTTACTTTACCTAATATAATCTTAACTAACCTAAAAAGATCCCCATTTTTACATTTTAGTTACTTTTATAATAATAAATAAAAAATAAACATGAAAAATAAGAAATAAGAAATAAAGTATTTACCCAAATCTTCTTTTTTCTTGATGTTGATGACACTTAAGCCTACTTTTTTTATACTAATGATAGTAATGTACTAAATAATTCTTATTTAATTAAATAATGCACCAAAGAACATAGACTAATAACATGCAAAAATTAGACAATTTCCCCTAACTGTCAAAATATTTTGGCTTTCTAACTATACGACAAGAGCCGTTACAAATTTATCCACGCTAGTCATTATCTTTCCTGTGGGAACAAATCTTGTACTAACAGTGAAACTGAGAATTCTCCATTCAGAAAAGAATGTTATTCAATATGATAGTTGACTGACGAAACCTTGGCTTCTATTGGTTATAGATAATATAGAATTAAACGTAAGAGAGAACTATTAACAAATCCTGAAAGAGAGCATGTGACAGGTGGGTGTGGCAAGAAGGTTCTGATTTTCTATTTGATAGCTCTGTAACCAAACAAAGTTGAAGGATATAAAACTTATGATTTGTCTGAACAATGACAATTTTTATAGTGAGTAATTCATGTCTAATTTCGTACATGCTGAAGGGGTGGTGGATAAAATAGAGAAGAGGACATGCCTAGAAAAAATGTGATACATGTGTCACACAAGGGGAAATTCAGGATTTTTCTAAATATTGCCTTATAAAATTAAGAGCTTAAAACTTATATACTATTAAAATATGGATTATTAGCTAAGAGTTTATGCTATACTAATTGGTATAACATAAACAAAAAGTTGATTAATGAAACCTTGTCATGCGCAGTAAAAGATGCCCATGGTGACAGGGTTAAACACTTATAGAAAATAAAATAACACATTTTCATGTTCTACAATCAACAAACAGCTTTACAAAACAATAAAAGTGTCAGGTAACATTAAAATAAAGGGGTTTCATTAATTAAGAAAAAAGAAAATTTCAAACCTTTTACAGTTTGCCTCAAAAAATTTTTGGAGGCAATTGTGTTGTAGGGGAGAAAAGAATGAAGCAAGTTAGGGTTGGGATAGCCAAGTTTTACCCTTAATACAAATAAAGATTTATTTAACCCTTTCATAAATACTTTTGTACCTTTTAAAAAAATTTCATAATAATAATAATTTCATAATTTCTATAAATATTGTGTTTTCTGATGAAACCCCTAAAAAAAAAATATATATATATATATTAAATAATCTTTAATTCAACCACACACACTGGTAACACAGACTTACACAACAATAAATGATTCTTAACTTAAGGATACATATTTTCTTAAGTCTGTGTTTGGGTCATAAGATCTTTATTAAACATATGTAATATAAAAAAAGGAAAACTGCTTGAATTACTACATGGAATTTTTCTGGCAACACACCAGATTCAAACAATATATTTTTGAACTAAGAAACCTCATTTTTGATTTATGATAGACATATATAATTTCTCAGGTGATTAGCTTGTTATCAATTGCAAAATATTAGTATTTAGAATTTTCTGCAGATTTTGTTAACTTTTAAAAGTTTCTTAAGAAAGCCAACCTATGCAATAAGATATCTTAAAGATACTACCAAAATGATGGGTTCCCATAAAGAATACAAAATGAAAGTGGTCTTTGTAGTATACTGGTCACAAAAGCTGTAGGTATTGATGTACTGTCAGACACTGCAGACAAGCCACAAAGGCTGTGGTGAACAACGCAAAAAGATTCTCACAGCATTGTATCAATGGGTGACTTAAGCACATTTGGGAATGAATAACTCATGAACTACAAGGATTACCTATGTTGCTATGGTGTCACTCAAAGGGCCAATAACTAAGTATGTAATTGTTCTGTGTTTTGGTAAGGTTCCCCAACAGGAACAGATAACCCCATTTCATGCATTTGGGGTGTGTTATGGGTGTGACCCTTTTGATAATGATACAACTGGTAACTGCACCTCAACACATAAGCAACTGAAATGTACAACGAGAGTATTCAGGACAACATGTCATGGTGCACTAGAAATATTTATTCATGTTGACCTTTAGCTAGTTATGGTTTCAGGTCCTGCTGAAAGTTTTACTATGGCAATCTGAGCATCTTCACCAACTGAATTTTGAAAAGGAGGCATCCTACAAAGTTTTGGAACCAGCATACATCTGTGGTAGCAGCAGAGAACAGATGGCAATGGAGTTTCCCTCATAATGCACGGGTATGGTTGTAGATATACATGAGTCAAACACAGATTTACGAGTGCTGGGAAGTGGGATAGACAGTTCTGGCTGTAATTACCTCAGTCTGCCAAGAATGCAACCAGATCTTAAATACCCATGAACCTGATATTGGCAGACAGCTAAAAAAGACAACTATACAGAAGTACAAAGTAAGAAGCATAAAAATCTAACAACCAAAGGATGGCAGGTTTATCATAGCACATTTACTTCCAAGGGGTTGGGTATCAGAATGTCTTATGGAGGATATTGTACCAGACATATTGCATCTTTCCGAACTACAGTCACTAACTATTTATAATGGCAGTGTCTGTTCTGGTTATAGAACCCACCCCAAAGTAGGCTGAATACATCCTCAGTTATTGACTTTTGGAATAATATCATAGTGGTGTACACAATTCTGGAAGCTCATATATAATTTCATCTCCAAATGTGCCCACTGATACAATGCTATGAGAATCCTTGTGCATCTCCGTACACCACCCATGCATTTCACACCATAACCTTTTGTGGCTTATCTGCAGTATAAGGAAGAACATCATCTCTCACAACTGTGATTCACTTTCCTTTCATGTTATTTATTGACATCATCCTTAGTAATAAGTATCAATCTTAAATTTTCAGAAACCATAATAAACTATCCAAAAAAGTCTGGAAAGACTACTAAAACACTTAGTATAAACTAGATTTCTAAAAATACTAACATTTTTCAGTAAATCATTTACTAATCTTACCTATATTTTAGTTTGTTTGATGATATGACACTGTGTTAATACTAGCTACAAACTAAGCATGAAAAGGGTCGAGGCAAGAATCCAAGTCAGGAAACAATTACCTATTATGGGATTTTAAAACCTGGCTATTATTCACAAAATGTTCAAAGTAAAGCATTTCACTAAACCATCCAACTCTGAAATATATAAACACACATAATAAAAATATTTTAATTACCAAATACAATGTTTTAAGTTAACTTGCAAAAAATATACATTTAAGTTGAAATACCTTATTAACATCTTAACAGTATTAAACCTTTCTATTAATAAAAAGTTAACACACATATATTTTATATTTTGTTTCAACTTAAAAAAAGTCTAATAACTAGAAACTTTAGCTTCTGTTTTAGGAAATTAGTTGTCTACATATTGTTTTACCTTAGCCCAGGTTGTCCTATCTGCAACTGTCAGAGCTCCTAGGCCTGGTCCTTCTGGATGCAACTCACACCACTGTTTAATTAAAGAAAGTTGCTGAGCTAGTTCAGGTGGTGAGAGTGGCCTCTCTAGGTGGTCAACAGCATCAAAAGTAAAAATGTGCCCTCGACAAAGAACCAAAATATTTACTGGTCCAACAGGTCCTTCCGATTCTAATAAAAATTTAAATTTCATTTGTATTAAATGAAAGACTACTATACAAAGTGATTATTTATTACAAGTGTGAGATCACAAAGGTTAATATGTTGTAAACCACTGTCATGTTTACCCTGTGCTTAGAACAAAAAATGGAAGAAATAAATTGGATAATATTCAGAATTAAATCGATAAAATAGCATAAAAAATAACTTAAATAGCTAAGCATGTCTTATGAGATGTCCAAAATGAGTATTATAACAAGAACATCATTTTGAAAACTTGCCCAAAATGCAGTAAATGTTACAAGTTTATCAAGATGTCATTCAATGTTTGAATTAACCAAATCACATTTAACAGCACAACTAATCAGTTGAAATAGATCTTTCAGGTAGCTATAGTTACAATCCATATAGTTAACTACACTGTGTAAAAAGATTTACAATATTTTGAACACAGATTTTTTATTTTGAATACTTTAATAGATGGAGATACACAATAATAGTGTAAACATTAATTACTTTTTTTTTAAATATCAGTAGTTAAAAGAGTCTCTTTTAATGTAACTCTACTATCAAGCAAATCTACAATTTTAATTACAAACTCTTTTGTTTCCCTAATTCCAGATTACAGATATTCCAAAAAAAATGAAAAGAAACGAATATATCAAATAATCTTTCAGAATCATATCATAAAAATTAAACATCCTAGTGAAAATTTCCCATGTTTGTAAAAATGTTATCTTGCAAGCTTTCAGTCCAATATTGAAACTTTTGGCAGATAATTTTCATGTATAGTGTATATAACAAACTGAACTGTTCACTTTTGTTGAAGGCCATGATACTGGTGTCAAAACATGATGAAAAAAGCACTCAGTTTTGTAATACTAAATGAAAAACTATTCAAGTTCATCCATAAAAGAAAAACAACAAACAAACATGCCCAAAAGCTGGTGGTAAGTGCTGCCAGCCAGTTACTTTCCTCTTAGTCAAAAGTGCAAAAGTTGGTGGCAGTGTTTATCAAAACATTTGACTTTTCTTTGAAACCTCTTCATATCTCTGATGGAAGAATGGAGAGATTTGTTTGCACACCCACCATGACAGTGGAATAGAGAGCAGCAGAATAACTCCATTTTGGAAGAGGGGTCATCATCTTTCAAACCTAAGGATGAGTGATATTATTAAAGGCTTTGATTCTCTGAAACCTCCTTCTATACAGTCCATTTAGTACACAATCTAGAATATGAGGGATGTGAACCTCAGCAGTTGACACAGTAAGGCTCCAACTGGCGCTCATTGCAATCATGGTCTTTGTTATCACAATGAGTACAAGTTAACTGACCACAGCAAATTGTTTTTGTGGGTCATACCTCTGACAATGAAAACAATAGAAAAAATGGCAATATACGGTCAGATCGTACAATTCAATTCTGATACTCTGTCTTAACAGTAGTGAGGTGCTAAACATCAACCATCACTGGCTCAGATATTCCACCTTTGTGAATGGGGATATGCTATATTGCCATCACTTCTTGACAGGAGAGGCCAACAAGAAATTCCAACTCTAGGGCATCAATAAGAATCTTCTCGACAATAACTCTCCTTGAAAGGTTCAAGGGAGCATGCAGAGTAACCTCAATAAGTATATCCCAACACATTTTGAGTGTAAGAGAAGTTTGCTGTCATGTGATCATGATGTTTTGACCAACAGGTTCCCAGATCTTAGTTGCTTACCCAACTCTGGAGAGCCAGCAAATCTCTCAAAGCCCTTTTTGGATGAATAATTAGTGAGCCAGCAAATCACTATAAGCCCTTTTTGGATGAATAATTAGTGAGTCAGCAAATCACTATAAGCCCTTTTTGGATGAAAAATTGGAGAGCCAGCAAATCACTATAAGCCCTTTTTGGATGAAACATTAGTGAGCCAGCAAATCACTATAAGCCATTTCTGGATGAAAATTGGTGAGCCAGCAAATCTCTCTAAGCCCTTTTTGATTGAATAATTAGTGAGCCAGGAAATCTCTCTAGGCCCTTTTTGGATGAAAAATTGGAGAGCCAGTAAATCTCTCTAAGCCTTTTTGGATAAAAAATGACAACATCTTGGATAATGCCTTTTTGGAAAGAGAATGTAAGATTCAAAATTAAGATATGGCAGTAATAGGAAAAGGTGACAGCCATCTATACACAGTTATTTACCAATGATTATTATTATTTTGTCTTTTTATTTAAAAAAGCCATAAGAAAAGAATAAGATTCAATACCCACTATCCCAATCCACCATGAGCTCCTACAAGGGGATGCACTACACTGTCAAATTAGCTAGCCACATCAGGGTTTCATGTGCACTATACCCAAACATCAGAACCTGACATAATGTCCACAGTGCTCAATGAGGGCATCTAATATTGACACACAGTTGATCCTAGTCACATAGAACCAGTTAACTGACCCAGGGCCACCTGTTCACAGGAATTCAAGGCCAAAGTGGTGCATTGCAGTATCCCTGACACAACTAGGATCTTCTCCTCCCCTTCATAGGTTGATTTGCATGGCAAACATGTAGGTGGATGTATGGATCTCAGAAAGGGTAAACTGTATAGATAGAACCTTTCCTGGGAGGTCCCTTCACCACATACAGGAACCCACATTGAGGGCTCCATTTGAACCAGAAGCCATAAAGATAATAAAATGGCCATTAAGAATTCCTTATTTTAACTCAAAAAGAATACCTCTGGGACCTCCTTGAATGCAGTGTATACCAAAACCTCAACCCATCATGTGATATCGGAGGGCTTGGCATTGCAATGACAACAGAACAATATCATCTTAACCCCCTTTTGTGCCATTTTGGGTCATACTGATGCGATGCAATTTCAGATATGTTAAAACAGTCTTGAATTGGTAAAATATTTTTTTATGCATAGTGTTTAATCTTTTACATTAAACACTAGAAATTTGTAAAAACTCTCATCATGATAAACTCAAAAATATATTTAGTTGCATTATAATATTATGGAAATCAGTGTTGGGTCAAATATATCTTAAATATAGGAGGAGGAGGGTTAAGATCATCTATTGATTAATCAGAAGCACACCTCACAGATGCAGAGATTATATCAATGACAAGGAACCCTCACACTCTTGTGACAAATGTGACTATTTTTTGATAAGATCCTTCACATCAGACTCTAACTCTGACCACCTTGAAGTTGAGTGTACTCATACTCCAAGGGTGTAACTAGTGATATGATGTCAAAGAAACTGATTTATTAGCCTTACTTTGTGAATAAATGGTGTTCCAAAAATATATTTTTAATTTCAGCTCCATTGTTCATTTGTTGAAGAATAATACAACTATAAAACCTTGTCTCTTTTTAACTTTTTTTTTGGAGTATTATTTTTTTACTTGGTCATCAGAGCTTCATCTAGGTACCTAGTGGTGAAAAGAATTGTAAGTAAGATTGTGACTATTTTAAATACTAATAAATATTGTGTGTTACAGTTAAATTTTATAAAAACTGTGGCTAGTTTCTCAGCACAATCCTTATATCACTTGAATTGTTAAAATTGTTTCCATTGAAAATGTTGCCACTCCATTAACCATACATATATTTATTTATTAAAGTATGTGTAATCATAAAATAATAAAAAATAGTTCAAGTTATTCAAATGAAAGTGTTGTGATTTTCATGGTATCTTGATTTTATCTGGTTGTTTATAATGAAAACAGCCTTGTTATACTTTACTTAATTCTTAAATGCGATAGCACTGTATACCATGACATTTACAACGGATACACTATTAAAATAAATTAAGTTTTATACAAAAAACCTATTGGTAATACCATTAAAGGTATTTCTGTGTCACAAAAATACGTAAAATTATGTATACAGTGTAAGCCTTACGAACTTCAAATAGCATCTACTACTTTTTACTACTCTTGCTTTGTGTATCTCAAATTATGTTATTGTTTTTATTTGATGAAATAATTAATAGGTCGTGATACATAATTATTAGAAGGAAATATAAAATTACTTATTTTTAAGTCTTGACATAAATGTACATAGTAATATGCTACCTGAACAAGTTAGGCAAGTCACATAAACTCTGTGACTGAACTAGAAAAATTTTTCTGAGTAATAGTATCAAACACTTTTTTACTGACTTGTTCATTATCTATTTTCTGAGTACATTATTGCATTGCCTTTTAGCACAAAAATCAAACAAGTTGTTACTTTAAAAAATACAGATAACATATTATTAATGTGTTTTTTAACATATTTAACATTTTAGATAAAAATGAAAAACTGAAGACATAAATTAAATAAAAATATTTCTAGGACGGTATAAAAACCTTTACACAATGTTAATAATAAATACATAAACTATACTCTATTGTTTCTTCAGGAACTTTAACCAAATCTTATTCAAGCAGATGAGAGCTGGATTTAGCCATTACTTTTTCTTAAAGCTGAACTAGATTTACAATAATGTAACAGTAAAGGATAGTAGACAAAGTTTCCTCTTTTTCCTAGACTGATATTTAGCAAGAAACTTAAATTGAACAGAAACTTTTCACTCATATACCATTAACTTAATAATTTCAAATATTTTATCACTAGTAGTTGTAGCTGTCGTATCAGATGTAGATCAATAAACAGGCCTACCAATTGTGAATTTACAATGAATTGAGTCTTTAGTTTCTCCTGGTATACGAGCAGTGTTGAACAATCTCCTCCACTGGTGCATACTCCAAGGAATGTCATGGGAATGATGAGGCTTTAACTGTTCCCTGATTAAAAGAAGCATAAGAACTAATCAACTTAAGACCCTAAATTTTTTCTGATTATCATTTGTTACCTCTTGGTTTTGTTTACTTGCTCAGGAATTCAGTCATAATAATTGCATCAATCTAAGTTATGATTACATAGTTAAATTGATGCAATTATTATAACTGAATTCAAATGGCTTATCTAAACAGGGGCTGATCCTTAGGGGGGAGAGAGTGGCTAGTCATCCCCCTCCTTTTCCTGAGCAAGTAAACAAAACCAAGAGGTAATAAATGATAATCAGGAAAATATTTAGGGTCTTAAATACACTCTTAACCTCACCTCTTGTCATATGAATAATGTTCGTAATTAGCAAGTGTGTATAGTATAAAACATTTTTCTGGAAAAACATGCTCCAGATCCCATTAAGTAGTCACCCCACTAAATAAAATTCTGGATCAGCCCCTGTTACAATTTAACATTAATATGTATAAAATGTTAAGATAATTTGAGAAAATTCAAGCAATATAATTTTACTTATTAAATATATCAACATTCTACCATTTAGATCCAATACTTTTAGAACTATTTTTTTAAATATGTAGGATTTTTAAAGACACATAGACACTTATAACATTTCACTAAAACCATTGCATTCAGTCAATACAAAGACAAATTAATCACACACTATAACTGTCAAATATTATAAAAAATATTAAGGAGTAAACTGATGTAATACAATACACAACATTTTCTACTATAGTATTTCTATACAGAATGAATGGCATCATACCATTAAAGATTCTCTAAAACATTATGAGTAAATAATGTCAATTCCAGTACTTATAGCCTACATTAGAGTTTACCTAACTTTCAACATCTCCTAACTTGCAAGGAAATTAATATACTCTTCAAAATAATTTTTTTGTACTTATAGTTTACAAGCAAATGCTGCAGGAAATGTAAGATTCTCCTTTTCATTCTTAAATAAACTGTGATTATCCACTAATTATGCATGCCACATGTGTGTTTTCTTATAGCAAAGCCACATTGGGCTATCTGCTGTGTCCACCGAGGGGAATCGAACCCCTGATTCTAACATTGTAAATCTGAAGACTTATCGCTGTCCCACCAGGGGACTATGCATGCCATTAAACAAAATATTTTCCTTAGAAATATTGACCTATTAGCAAACATATTTCCATATAAGTTTGACGAAAGGTCAGTGCTGACCTTGATGGAAAAGCTGATGGACGAAATGCAGCCGATGATAATGTAAATCATACATGAACAAAAAGACAGTATAAAATCTTAAAGCAATAAATTGTAGAATATCAGATGTGAATAGAAAGTCAAAATCTTTTTAAACTGTAAAATGTGTAATACCACTTGTTAAAGTCCATACCCCAGTATAAAAACTTGAAACGGTATGTTTGGTCCAAAACTTCAAGAGTCACAACCTTACTTTACTCTAATGTCACATGGCATACTCGGAAATCACAGTTAGAAAGGTTAAGTATCCTTAAGAGACATTTTTTGGCCCTAAAATCCATTAAACAATAAAGTACTGAGAACAAAAACAGTAAGTGATGCTTTTGATACTACCGATGCCCTGGTAAGTTAGTATAAAGATGTGTGTAAGTTGTTTGTGATTTGGAGTGCATATTATGGAAATCGTATTGATTTTACCCACAAAAGGCCTTGAGTTTACACTGTGCACATGACCATTCCTATAATATACCCATACTTTATATTTTATTTTCTGTAATGAACAAAGTAAGTTAATTATCAAAGCATACAATTTACTTGAAAACCTTGACCTTAATTACGTATATATTAAATACCAATCTGCCATCAATATTTAATATTCAGACATAAAATGATAAAAATCCTATAACCCAAGCATTTTTAAAAGGTGGACTTTTCTTCTTCAGGGTTTATCATTTTCTATTAAGACTTCTTGAACCTACATGTTTTTCTGATACTATGAATAATATTCGGATATTTGGAGATATACATATCCCATCATTATTGATTTTTAATACATCAAAGATTGTACAAATTCATACAAATCACATGTGCTCATAGTGTAAGGACAATAAATATATTTTCCCACATGCTGAAAAAAACTTAGTAACTGTGAGATCAAATATTCATACTATTTGTCCTTCAAGATTGACCAGCAGACATGTCTAAGTATGGACAATGTGACACTGGTGCAGTGGCACTCACAGTACACAGGGTTTCTGGACACTTTCAAGATCATATCTTTAATGCTGCAGAGAGGAACAGTTGTTCTTACAACATTGACGATTAAGGTTCTAATGACAGTAAAACATAGACATTGTGGATTTGAGCATTTCACATCTCTGTGTACTCTTTCACGTCCATGCCATATGCTTGGTACAGCAGTTGTGTTTTCTATGGGTTACAAGGATAACACGATAGCCTGGCATGTAACAGCTACAAAAAACCTTTGTTTACCTTATCAGGGTGTTATTAATGAAGAAACCAAGGAAAAAATACATACATGAAATCACATGTGTTCCAGTGATTTAAATTCACAGTAGGACCAAAAATAGCCCATCTGGGATTCCATCCTTTACATTTCATGATAATCTAAACAATTCTTTGAATTATAACAAAAACTAGTCAAGTGAATCAACAAAACATTTGTAATAGCAAAAACTAACTTCTGTATACACATAGTGGACTAGAAAACAAAGGTAAGTTAATTATCAGAGTACACAATTTTCTTGAAAATCTTGGACAAACACATATTGGTGCATATAATTTAATAGAAAAATTAATTTATTTACAGCCTATCAATTCATCTTACTACAGATATTTAGATATCTACAGTGCTGTGACTGTGATTTTTAGCTACATTTTAATAACACAAAAAAATGTTGGTTTGTGTCCACTTATGTAAACCAAGTAAAGTGTCTTCTCAGTTGGAGTTTGAAACGTATATAACATGAAATGAAAATGTTTAAAGTACTCTTAGAATTAACTTTTTCAGATGGAAGTATTAATAACTTCACTCAGTGAAGAAGGTTCTACCTAGAATATGTACAAGCATGGCCATCTGCAGGAGGGGGGGGAAGAGGGATACTTGCCTCCCCCTTTCCCTGAAAAATGAG